GTTCTTGACTCTGAAGGCGGGTGTGCATCACGGACGTGTAAACTAAACAAATCTTACGATGCTAATGATATTGAAAACATCAAGACACAGTTTTATGAGGAAAAACTTACCATAAACTTCACCCTGCTGCCAACAAATTCCCACAAAGCTTTTTACTTGGTGAAAGTGTTAGCTAACGGCAGTGTGTAGCATACTCTCCTCTCATTGGTCAGTCAGTGAAACCCTCGCTGATTGGTTGTACGCTAAGCGACAGCGACAAAAGTTGAACATTTTTCAACTTTCATATGTCGCGTCGCTAGCTCGCGTGTGCACGTCTACGTGYACGAGCGCAAAATTTCACATGCACTATTTTCGCCGGCTGCTTAGCGGGAGGAGGGCAAGCGATTGTCGCTTCACCGCACAACTTCCATATGAAATGAATGAAGAGTGAGCGACGTCGCCTCCTGTGTGTCGAGCCCTTTAGTAGGAGAGCAAAAGCTTGACAGACAGACAAACAGACTGCACACAAAGGCTGCGGTGCGCAGCGTTTGTGGAGACTCTCCAACATCACGTCACGTCAYGTGAACTCCACTGAGACGCAGAGACTCGTTTCTTCATATCAGCTATGAAATAAASWAAGATCTATGTTCTACCAAACATTTAAGTTMCTCTGTGTTTACAGTAATGGTAAACTCGTGCGCAAAGCGTTGAGCCGGTTGTGCAACACAGCAGTTTGCGTGCACACACACACCGACACACAATCACTCGTTCTTTGCGTGATAAACATATTTTATTCCTGTTTTTACTTAGGATTTTTTTCACACTCACATTATATTTAATTCATTATTTTTATGACATTAGAAATCATTTCTGATCACACAGGGATCACTCAAACGTGTCCTTCACACATGCAGGAAGTAATTTACATCTGTTTAACATATGGGGAGGTGTCTCACGTGCGCTCAGTTCCACGTTAATTGTGATTTACAAAAGAAACGTGCGTGGATTCAGGCGTACACACGGTTTGATACATCTGGATTTTTTTGTGCGTACGCCTTTTTCTGGATTTGACCGTACATCAGGTTTCAGTAAGAAATCCACACAAGTCTTTGTACATGAGGCCCCTGGTTAAGAGGAGCAGACTTAACTCGTGGTCGAGGTACACAGGCAGAGGTCGAAGTCCGGGAAACAGATGACTGAACAGGTCTGACGGGGAGTGAGGTGAGAGGCAGAGATCCAGAGTCGAGAGCAGGAGTCAAAACCAGGTGATCAGAATCTGAGACAGTACCATTCAGGGGCAAGGCAGGAGGCGTAGAACCAGAGATCAAAAACAGGGTCGTTACGAGGCAGGCGAGACAAGACATGGGAATGTGGACAACTACTAGGTGAAACTGTTCATAAATGTGGCGCTGGAGCAATGGTGAAGGAGAGCTTAAATACTGAGGGCAACAGGTGTATGACATGAGGCTGATGAGGAGTTCTGTGACGGGAGGAGTGAAACAACAGGCTAATTGACTGATGGAGAAAAACATGACATGACTTGGATAAAAAACAGGACATTCACAGCTGATTTTATCCAAACGTGTCAATAATTTTGCTGTGAAACCAGAAGATAATTAGATTCAACTTATCAGACATGAACAAAGAATTTAATCTGCTTCTCAGATGTCACTGAGCACGACTTTGATGTTTCTGTCAGGTTTGTGGCTTTCTGATGAGGCAGGTTAAGTGGAATTTGTATCCCGACTGCAGCACAGAATTGCTGCACGTCACAGTTTGTCATCAGTCAGCACGAAGGTGTTGACATGTTCAGTCAGCCTGCCCCTGCCTCCTGCAGCTGGCACGAGCTACTTGTTGGCAGGCTGGTTTCCCTCTAGTGTCACACATCAGGTCACTGCATGTCGTGGTGATGCAGGTGCAAACCGCCTCACATGTGAGACCCCTGACAGACCCTGACAGGCTTAAACAATGAATTTCATTCACCTGGCCTAGAAAAGTGCTGATTTTCAAACTGATGATATTCAGTTTCCTGAGGTTTTTTTTTTTTTTTTTTTTGGTTTTAAGTAACCACCTTTTTCTCCTTGTTCAGTAAAGATGTGAAGTAGTTGTGTGCAGAGGGTAGACTGACCT